ACAATAACCATATGGGATATTGCAACCATAATAACTGTTACAACCATTGTTAATTACGTTTATGGTTAATTGAGAGTGGTCACGAGAATTGGGGTCACAAGAATTGATCAGTACAAACTCCTATGGCTTGCATGAGTAGTTGAAAGTCACCTATATAGGCTTTCACTTAGAAATGGAAGGAAAATGAAGTGTGAACTTGAGGCTTAAGTGAAGAACCAGCAGGAACATGTAGTTGCAGTAGTACGCTTCTTATCTTTTGCTTTCGAATTTCGAATTAGAACTACCAAAGTGATGAAGAGCGAAGACCTTCAAACATTAAGAAGCATACTTCTTAGTTACACATACAATTTACCATACAGACAATTCAAAAGCAGCACCTGTGTTTTTTTAAGAAGGGCAGGATTCAAACCTTTCCCTCTCTCGGTCCATCTTACAGCAGACAGATCGTACGTCTTCATTCATAAATTACAGATAAAAGACTAAAGCGCAAGGTAAAGGAGCCCTCCTATCACAAATGGCAACATCCGCTAACCCATTGCATACTTCTGGGTCCAGCTCCTGGCAGTTGTCTCATACTTGCTCCTGTCTGTCTTGTACATGTGAGCAATCTCGGGCACCAGAGGGTCATCAGGATTCGGGTCCGTTAATAGAGAACAGATGGAGAGCAATACCTGAAGATGAACACGAATCCACTTTAAACATCCATATGAAATCATGCACTTTGCCAAAAATGAATTTCCACTCCTAATAGTTTTGGAGGACATGCATGATGACCCACAGTCCACAGCCTCCCAAAACACCCACACACAAACCTCAAGACCTGGGGATACAAAAGCAGATCGATAACCCAAATGACCAACTTCCAAGATTTTCAAGTCTAATTTTCAAGGGAGGTTCGCACTTCTCTTTTATAAATGCACTCCTTTTTTATTTTTCCTCAAATTAAATGACAAATAACACCCCTAATACGTTATTGTCTTATTCATTAATAGAGACAATGATGTCATTTCACTTTAAAAATGGAGTTCAATTATGAAAAAGTAAAGTGCAAATATCACCTCCCATATTCAATTGTAATTACTTTCAGATCATAAAACTAAGTGCCACTGCTCAATTGGGTCGAGTTTTGTGGTCCATAGCATCTGAAACGATAGAACCAGATGCCATGAGTAGGAGAGTTTATTCAACCACACTGTATTTTATTTTAAAACATGTAAATCTTCCTTCGTAAAGTGGTTTGAAGTCACAGAATAATAACCTTGGAAATAGTAAGGGCAGGGCTCCACTGTTCCTTCAATATATCAAGGCAAATACTGCCGTTACTGTTGATATTAGGGTGAAAGACCTTTGTTCTGAATGCAACCTGCAAAAGCCATCCAAAGTAAATAGAACTACAAGGGGAAACCATCTGAAAACATTTTCAATAAATTTTCATCCATAAAAAAAGCATGGCAAAATTAGCCATTAAGTTAAGCATGTATAGTTAAGATCAACAAAGTGCCAAATTCCATATGATTAAGTAGAAAATAGTTTCATATATCCCGTGTCCAAGATTCCAAGACTGGGAGAAAGACACTAGTTTTAATGTGAACACTTCTTATGAAGAATATAGTTTTTTTTAAGTACTCTTATGAAGAATATGGTTTTCAATGCTGTTTTGGTCATGGTTTCGGGGCTCTCCAATGCATCTTGGTTTCAGCGTTATGAGGTGGTATGAATCAAATATGCCACAACTCAGGAGTGTGTGAGTACAAGAGGGGAAAATAAGAGGAAACATAAAAATTCTTTTGAGCCATACTAGGAGAAACAAGAGCATGCTACATACAACATGATCCTAAAGTCTACCTCGTATGCAATCATGTGTATCCCTGCTTACTCTGCCCCTCTCTCTCAAACCAAGTCTACAGGATATTCCATTAGATACGTCCACCTTCTATACTTCAAATTCTCACCAATCTTCTTTCATGCATAGATTATTATACCACAAAAGGCTATAGCATATTTTAAAATGATTAACATCATACAAACTTTTAGCCTCTTCTTATTTAAAATGAAGCACCATAAGACATTACACCCATCTTTCATAATACTAACAGCAGATAATGCAGTACCTTAGGTGGCTTAAACGGATAATCTGGAGGGAAATGTATGGTAACTAGAAACACTCCACCTGCATAAGGACTGTCGGAGGGACCCATAATTGTTGCTTGCCAGTGAAACATGTCCTCGGCAACTGGACCTATAATATATATTCAAATGCAAGACATCAAAATGAATAAATTGCTATATCTATGATCCGGCAAACCTTTTTTCCACATACTAAATAATATATTCTCATTTTTACTTTGCCTAGGTATTTTGTGTCGCCATATGACCTAATCAAATGAGATAAGAAACTAAGTTCAAATTTAATTGCATGCGAAGAATATGTTCTACTCAAGTACAAGATCACCAAAATGTGTCCCATGTCAAAACCTCTCATTTCAAAACATTAGAGAAGACCAATGTTCATCATTTATAATCAATAGTGAATACTTGTGTGCACAGACACAGCTCATTTCGAGCAGGTATAAATTCCACAACCACCAACGTGATGGAAAGCAAGAAATCCAACTCTCATAAACAGGAAACAATCAAAAAGTTAAAATGTATACAAAAAAGATTAACTTGAGCTTTTATCATCAACTGTAGAGTGACGTCTTTTTCATTTAACCAACTTGTAGGGTGACCATTGCACTTCCAAAGAGTCATAAATGCATATCATAACCTATTGTTGCTAAATGTGATCAGCATATCTTGTTGGTACCCTTCTAGATATTTACCAAACGATCATCCTCCTTGCCTTAGTCCCATTTGAATAGGATTGGCCACATGAATTCTTTATTTTCATTCTCTTCTATCATAAGTCATCTCTCCTATTGTATATAATTTCTTAAGAATATATTTACCAAATCAAAAGACTTACGTATGATCTCAAGTAACCGAGCAACACACCATAATTCCTAAAAGAATATGAAAAAATACTTTTTAAGTGCTGTGTGATTATTAAGTACCAATTAAGCTAAATAAACAAATTTAGTGGACAAGACAATTATAAAGCTAGTTGCTTATAACATATGGTACAAAATCCTAGACAGTCAAGTTGAAGACAAGACGAAGACTAAAGAGTCGAATGAGCTACTGAGGGCATAAACGAAAGCCTAAGATTTAACCAGAAATATGGTATTATTTGGAGCTGATTTTAGCCCAATTAAGTCTCTGTTTAGTCGAGCAGAATTTGCTACAGTACTAAGCAATAATGAGACAATTTAATTTCCATGGTAAAACCAAATACAACTCAGAAATTGATCAACTTAAGAAATTTTTCCTCCAGATAGAACAATTCTCTGCCAGCATAACAAATCATCAAGACAATATTAAAGCAAAAAATAAAAATACAATAGAACTTACAATTTTGTTCCAACTAGGATAGGTGTGGCTCAGAGGGATGGCACACAAAGTCACAAGTAAATAGTACGTCATTAGGTCATTAGCAGAAACGCATAATTCAATCAAGCTGGACCTCAAATTTCAGATTAAAATTGAACATTAGTTACTCAAGAACGTGCACCATTATAGGGATATGTAATTGAATATATATATATATATATTTTAATGTAATGTAAAAATAAGTAAATATAACTCCATTACATTTTAATAGAAATAACATAGTAAAGAACTAATAAGTTGTGCTTTAGTGATTTAACATTCATAATAGGGGCCACCTCTTGTGAATTTTTTGAATAATTATCTGATGTATGTAAGAGAGAGAACAACTTGTAGTCGGTGGTGAATTATTAAGTACTTTAAAAAGATTGACACCACCATAGTCTATATAAAAAAATAATAATAAAAAATATATATATAATAAGCTTTTTCCCTGCAACTTATTTTCTTTATTATTAACTTCTTCTCCTTATTTGTTGGTTAGTGATGGAATCAAAGATATCTTCTTGTTTTTCCAAAAAAAAGGAAAAAGAAATGGTTGCTACCGTGTATTGATGATGTTTGTGATCATTGTCATTCAGGTACGCAACCTAGAAGGGCTAACTAAAAGCCAATGTGATCACTTAAATGGGTTTGGACAACTTTTCAGTTATTCGGGTTGGGCTTAAGTTGAAAATTTTGGACCAAAAATTAATTTGTTTCGGTTTCGGCTGAGGTATTATTTAGCAACCGAAGGCCAACCCAAGCCCAAAGGCCAACCTTATTTTAATATTTAAAAAAGAAAAAGTAATCCAAGCTCAAGTACATATATTCTTAACTCGACCTAGCTGGAGCCCAATAAAAAAAAAAAAAAATTTGGACTTGGATAATGTTATTTGAAATTTGGTGCGGATTTGGAGTGAAAAAGAGAAACCCAAAATAAATTTGATCTAGGCTTGGATTCATGTGTCAGACAATACAAAGCCCAACTTGAACCTATCCTTAATATGCTAACCCGAATAACTTTGATTTGTGAAAGTAAAAATATTTGTATTGCTTGCACATTAATAGGCAGTGCACTATTTGTATTGCTTGCATATTGAGTTCAATATTTTTGTTAATTGTTATGTTGAAATCTGATACTGGAATGGTTGTCTCACATTAAGTTTTTTAATTAGAGATTAGTCATATAAGCAATCCGGTTTTATAACTCGAAACATTAGATTGAGTTGCAAACCCAAATTCAACTCAAATTTAAAGAATGGATTAGATTCGGGTTATATCTTTTAATCCGCTTAAATTGCTACCTTATCTTAAGCACCCCACTCATTATGATTGTTTTCGACCAAAATACCTTATCTTTAAAAATAAGGGGATGCGTCCAGCGAAAACTTTATTCAACATTCATAAAATTCAGTCTAACTGCTCCAGATAGTTCTGGATTAAGCTTTGGACAGTGTAACTACTCCAGATAGTTCAACACCACCTGTTCTACATCAAACAATGAGTAACATGAAACTTTGAAAAAATGGAAGTGAATCAGCAAAAAGACCAACAGGTGACTTCATAAATAAAATTTGGTTCTTATACAAACCATAGATACAAAAGAACAGAACACCGATATTGATTGTTGACAAGCCTATCTCTACATACAATTGCACTAAGAATTAGACTAACAAAATTACATTTTCCCTATCACAACATACAAATGCATCTGCCCTTACTTGGTCTTGATCTGTCTTTATAAACCAGCTGCTCTTCCTAATCTCTCTTAAAATCTTCACTCCCATGTACCTGTACAAGTCCAAATCATGATATTAAACCATTTGTGCTTATTACTCTCTCTCCTAAATTCACAGAGGCAGAACAGAAAAATAAGAACATAGACAATCTTTTATAAGGTATATCTATACATTGTATTAAGATCTTACCTTGCCCACTAGGCACCCACCATGGTAGTGCCAAATTGTGATCACAGTATCTTTGCAAAACTGCTCCAATGACCCTGTTTCATTAATGTGTTGAGCGGCATGGCCACTGATTGTCTATCAAACAGTGCGAAGTTTGTGAAGTGTTTGGAGCTCACAAGCTTCTCCACGATACGAATACCTTCAACGCAACACTGTAGATCACGCGGATGGCTAAAGAGATTAAACAGAGATGATAGGAGGAATGGGGAGAAAATTTCTATCAATTTGCATAGTTTTATATAGTCCATTCTAGTTGTGTTCCTTAGAAGTCATTCTTTCAAACACATATTTTTGGTAAAATTGTCAGATTAGAGACAGTAGCCTCATAAGTACTCAGCCTATGCATTTCTTTCTAATCCATGTACATCCCTTAATGGTAACAAGAACTACTATCAAAGTACATACCCATCTTGGTAATCCCTACAGTTTGTATCCATGTCTGCTCCACAGATCGATTGGCGGGAATAAAAACAGTGTTCAAGGGGTTATCAGACTCATTATCAAGCACCATTGAAATGTTCATCTTCTTGAGGTCAGCCTTAGGTCCAACGCCACTGAATAGCAGCAGCTGAGGGCTTCCAATTGCTCCACACGACACTATTATCTCACTGCTTGGCCTCTTTGCAAGAAATTATCAATGTTGTTTCCCATTTTCATCCATGACGATCACTCCAACGGCCACTGGTTTCTTCCCTGTATTGGACATTATAAACTCATTACTGCCCGTTAACAAGTACGTACACATTCTATAGTTAGTTGTCAATCTTTCTGGTTCATTTACGACTTTTGGGACTAAAATCCTATATTGAATCTGAGTAACTAGCAAACCTGTTACATTGAATATGATCTTTTGTCCTGTAGCATGAATCAAAACATGACGGTTCTCAGAAATTACGGAAGCAAGAAGCTCTGCATATGTGTGATGGCGACCAAACTTGTCAAAAATGGTCCACTTATGTGATCATAGGTGAATCCGTTGAAGGGTAAGACCCCAACTTCCAAAAGACTGTCCCTCACCGCTCTCTGCAATGGCCCAAGCTTTGGCCAGTAAACAATTTGCTTCTCAATCCATGGGTACGACTCATTCACCAATTTAGCATCCCAACCTGCAATTGTGACATAAAGTATTTAGTCACAGAATTCTATTAGGAGGTGTTTGGTTGTTGAGAAAATGAAGGAAAAGGAAAACAAAAATACGCATTCTTATGTTTCTTCTTGTTGATTTGGTTAGAGAATTAAGTGAAGCACTTGCTCACCTCAAATAAAGTTGTTGTATTAGCCTCCATTGATTGAGTGAGATTCAAACTAAAAGTTCTTTCCCTTTTCCTACAATATTTTTATAGCTTCACATTATTTCTAGATTTTACAAAATTTGGAGATCTCTCTTTACCACTCCATATAAAATTGGCAACAACATTTTACATTTTTGCAATGTACTAATTTCTAAAAGGTAAAGTCTTCTATAGAGAGACAATTCACAGAGACACAGCATTTTACATTTTTGCAATGTACTAATTTCTTTCTTCAATTTTCTAACATAACTTAGAGTAATCTGAGTGGTAATTCAGTTCATAACTTAGTTTAGTCTTAATCTTAATTAATGGGCCTCGCATATACTGGTACGGTATCCTGCTTCATGTACAACTGCCACTGAACTATTCGCAGCACTCCTTGGCAATGAGTGTGAATTAATTATTCTAGTCTTATCTCTTAAAAAATGATGTCTAATGTGTCTTGTTTATTCACTTAACCAAAATAAAAATAAAAAAATGTCTTGTTTATACATATTCAACATTATTTATTTGTTTTACTTTAATTGTTCAGAAACAATCTCTTAGTTTCATTTAATTAGCTACTCATCATAGAATTTGAATTTCAACTTCACCATTGATTATTAAATATTGTAGAACTTGTAGAATTTCACAATTCAAAAGTAAGAGTCACAGAAGTATGAGGCTAAACTATGGAGATTTCAGTAGGCACCATTGCATAATTAAAATTTACCTGTCTACCAGAATTTATAAAATATAATAAAATCTTTTTTTCATTTTTTTGTTCTGAAAGTGTAAGAGCTTCTGTATACTATTCCCAGATCACATAATCACTAAACATGAATTTTATAAGTTATTCACTGCTGTGAGAAGAAAAAAAAAAAAATTATATTCTCTAAATTTAAAATAAAGTAATTGGCCAAGTGGTTTTACATTTGGAATCCATTAACCTTTTAATATTCATAAGAATCTTTTGGAGTCCGTGTATGAAACAATATAAAAACAAAAATTACGTTTAATTTTATTCTACCTATTCTCATCCTACTTGTTTCGTACTCCACAAATTCATTTAATTTGAAATTTTACTTGCACGATTTATATATATCAGTTCATGTTTTTTTTTTTTCGAAAGTTTTCTTTTGTTTATAAAAAAAGCTTTATATTCCCAAAAGCCTAAAAACTTGTGTGGCCTACCTACCAAAATTCCTTTGCAAAAATTAAAGTAGTGTGAAATGTGAATTACTTTAAATAATAATAATAATAATTTATTTGATATTATTTTTATTTAAAAGGCTAAACATGATATGAAAATGAAGAGGCTGTGAAAGAATAAGAAGAAGAAGTATCACCTGAGGAAATCGTCATTTATATCAACGCGGGGGATATGGGCAATCTTGGGCCAGTAGTCACCTAAGCACTGTTTTTCAAGAAGTGGACAATTCCAGATACCTAAATGTTGAAACGTGGCAGGCAGGCCTTCCTTCGGTAAGGATCGAAGCTTAGGGCAATTCCAGATATGTAGACGTTGAAAAGAGGTGAAATTTTGGAGGCCACCGCCCTTGCCCTTGCCCTTGCCCTTGGATGATGATGATGATATGGATTTCAGATTCGGGCAGTTTCCGATCGTTAGAAAGGTGAGATTTTGGAGGCCCTTTAATGATACGGATTTCAGATTCGGCATATCCAAAATGCATAAATGGGTTAGAGTTGTAGGAAATAGACAGTAGTCATCATTGTCATGATCAGGAGGAAAGGAGACCAGCTCTGGATATCCACCGCCAATGTCGAATTGTTGAAGAGAGGTGAGTCTGTGCATACTCCACTCTGACAAGGGCTTCAGTTTGCCGCAGTCCCAGATCCTAATGCTTTCAAGTGATGCGAGGCTTTGAATCTGATCAATTGGCAACCACCTCAGATTATTGCAGCCCCAGATCAAAAGCCTTCTCAAGTTGGGGGTGGACAAGCAGCAGCCTCTTTCCGGAAAGGCCTCGAGACTTGGACATCCTATTATCCATAGGGATTCAAGGTTTTGAAGAATCTGGTTGGTGGAAGGCAAGGATCTCAGATTCACGCAATTCCAGACCTGAAGTGATGTGAGGTTGGGTAAGCCTCTTTCTGGGAACGACAAGGACTCCACACCATCGCAATTCTCGACATGAAGTACTCTGACACTAGCAAAATTGTTATTATTTACGCAACCCCCAACTAACATTCCAACTTTTGGCCATTTCTCGATCCTTAATGTTTCAAGTGATGACATAATATTATTATTTATGTTAAAGTCCTCCAAATTCACGCAATCATCAACAAGAAGATCCTTGAGACCAGATATGCCTTCAGGCAGGGACTTCAATGCATTGCAATCTCTTATCTCAAGTCTTCTAAGCATGTGCGGGACACCTGCCTTCGGAAAGCACACAAGTTTCGAACACCCATTAATCTCTAAAGATGTGAGAGACGTGAGCTTATCCAGCTCATTTGGCAACTTCTCGAGATTCACACAATCTCTTACATACAATTCCTGAAGATTAATGCAAGGCAGCCCTTCATCATCTAATTCTTCTCCAAAGGAAACAAGTTGGGGGCACGACTCAACTCTCAGTCTCTGTAAACGGACAAGATTATTTTTCTGTGCAACCCCGCTGCCATTTTGCCACAAAGCCATCAGCTGGTTGCAATTTTTGAACACTAGACTTTCAAGTGCTACCAAAGACTGCACCAATGCTTCCTCCAGCTGAGACAGTCCTCTAATATCCACAACTTCCAAGCTAGTTAGTGAGGTCACACCAACTATACTTTTTAGCACCTCCTCCTCACACTCTTCCAAGTATAATTTTTGAAGAGAGGGAAGCCTTAAAGGGGAAACCGTAATCAAATTGGGACAACCACGCAAACTGAGCTCACGGAGGCAAGGGAATTGACTTCGAGATTCTTCAACACCAATGGAAATAGAAAAACACCATTCTTTCCATGCTGGCATGTCCTCAAATTTTAGCCTCTCCAGTGAGGGAAAAGGAAGTCCATCCCCCAAATTTTGCACTTCATGCATGCCTTCAATGTATAACTCTCTGAGCTTGGGTAGTTGCTGGAGTGGTGGTAAAGATCTACATTTCCTACAGCCTATAAGACTCAAGTTCACCATTTCAGAAAAGGATGGATTGCCTATCCAACTTGGGAATTCCCTGCCCCCGAAGAACTCAACTTTGAGCCTTTTCAAGTTTACGTGTGGTTGCAGCGTGTCAAGCACATCCAATTCGAGGTCTTCATCTCGAGAATCATTGAACTCACTACACCATGCCAACTCTACTTCATTAAGGCACTCCTTGTTCCTTAAATTTGCCTCATTTGCATCTCGAACATCTTTTATGTTTTGCAACTCTTCAATAGAAATACTCCCCCTTAAAAGGCTCAGATTCCCCAACTCATTCAGTCTTGCCCCATTATTTTTGCTGCCCACAACAAACTTTGGTAGTGTTTGCAAATTCTCCAGCCTACCAATACCTGAGGACGTCTCTCGTAATTTCACAGTATAAACAATGTCAATATGGCGCAGATTAATTAAATTCTCAGTGTTTGGAGGAAACATACAAAGATTTTCGCAACCACGCAATAACAATGTTTGTAAATTGTAGAGGGTACTGATTGATTCAGGTAACGATTGAATTAAAGTCCTAGATAAATTAAGATACCTGAGATGCTTCATATGGCCAATTGAGTTTGGTAACTCAGTTATGAAATAACCAGACAACGATAGCACCCTTAAGCATTGCAAATTTGGCAATAAATCAAACAAAACCTTTTTTGCTAAGAATGCCGCTTCATGTGCCTGAACTGGTAATGCCAATAGAGTTCGGAGATGCTGAACTTTGCAAAGAGGCCTGAACTTTTGAAAGACTTCAAAGTATTGACGAACAAATGACAAGTGTCGAGCTCGTTTAGGAATTTCAAATTGCTCATTACCCTCCAACTTATCCAACTGAACAGATATATTTCCAGCAACATGTATAGCTAGATCATGTAGAAGGTCATGCATCACAAACAATGATTTACTACTACCAGATTGTTGAAAAAATGACCTTGATAAAAGATCATCAAAACACTTATTGCCAAAATTCTCCATTCGATCCTTTTCTTTTGATTGCTGCAAAAGGCCTATCCCCATCCACAATAGAACTAGCTCAGCTTTGTCAAATTCATAGTCTTTTGGAAATGTTGCACAGTAGGCAAAGCATTGCTTCAAATGAGATGGGAGATGATGATAGCTCAATTGAAGGGCTGGAAGAATACCACCACTTTGTTCGGGTAAATTCCATATCTTGCTATTCAATATGTCTACCCACTCACTACTTTGGCGTTTTTTCCGGAAGAGGCCTGCTATTGTCTTTACAGCCAAGGGCAAGCCTTTACATTTACTCACTATTTCCATACCAATTCCTTTTAGACTTGGATCTGCATCAAAGTTTTCTTTCTCGAGTGCATGATGGGCAAATAAAGATAGACATTCATCATTGGACAAACCTTTTAGTTGGTAAGCCAGCTGAGACAGAGTCATGGTTGATGCAACCTCTTCATTGCGAGTTGTGACAATAATTTTGCTCCCAGGTGCCCCAACCTTAAAAGGAAGTTTTAGGAGCTGCCAGTCCTCATACTTGTCACTCCAAACATCATCCAAAACAAGAAGAAACTTCTTCCCTGTCAATTTCTCCTTTAACTTCTGTTGAAGTATATCCAAAGACTTGGAGTCGTCAATTTTTAAAGTGACTTCCCCAAGAATTGCCTCAAGAATTGCCTTGGTCACCCTATGAACATATGCATGAAAATCATCAGAAACACAAACCCATGCCTTGAGATCAAAACGACCCTCTACACGTTCATCATGGTAGACCAGCTGAGCGAGAGTAGTCTTACCAATGCCTCCCATGCCCACAATGGGAATGACAGAGAAATTGTCAGCACTAACTTCATCCTTCAACAACTCCGCAACGATAGCCTCTTGATCTTGTTCTCTGCCACAAACTTCAGATTTGTAGACGAAAGAAGTCGTTTCCCGTCCTCCTCTTGTTGTCTTGGACCCAATCACTTCAGCATTCTCTTTCAATTTCAGGATACTCTTTTGTTTTTCAATATCTTCTAATCTTTTAGTGATGTCCTCTATCTTGGACTTCATATCTTTTTTGGACTTCATATTATGATAAAGCTTGAGAGGGTTGAGTTGTCGTACCTTACTAGTAGTACTGGTGCTAGCATGAGATTGTCGCTTGATCAGCTCTCGTCCCAAAGTTTGAGTAGCCAAGTCGTCCAGCAAATCATCCAAATCGTAAGCCAAGTCCGTGAGCTCGTCCATCCACAATTTGACAGCAGCATTATTTTCCAATTGCTTGTCCTCTGCGTTAGCCAGAACAGCACGAATAGCTGGCAACATTTTCTCCAACTTCTTCAACTGAGCATCCATTCCCTCACGACGGGCATAGTTTGACACCGCCGGAGAGACCAACTTGTCAAGCAGCGCCTGAATGATCGGCCCCAGAAAGATCCCTGCAACGTCCATCGATTAGGAAGAAAAGAGATGGATATGTTTGTGAAAGATTGAGCACCTAATCAGATTCAAACCAAGAGCAAGAGCAATAGCAAGAGCAAGAGCAAGAGGGGGTTGGTTGACTGGAAGCTTCAAAAGTCTTTGGACATTAGTTTACCAAAGGATAGTGGAGCTGTTGGAATTTACTACCGTGGGCCATAATACCACTGAAGTAGGAGAAAATAATTCGTGGCACTTGAAAAAAAGTAGTTGATCCAAAAATCAGACAACCAAAGCATCATTCAATTTGGAATCTTTTGTCTCAATCCACTCATTTTTTTAGTCTGTCTTATCTTGTATATGTGCTTTATTTTCCAATATACAATATAAACTTTCTTATTGTCAAATTAAACAAAACAAAAACCTTTGATATATGCCGATATAACCCTGCTATGATGAATTTTGTTGTATAGACCCACAGAAATATTTAAAGCGTTATTTTCTCTTACAAAAGCATACAGAGTAGGTTTGTGTGTGCTTGCGATCTTATTACAATAACTTACAGCAGTGTTGTTTTTTATTACCTTCACTTGCATCCCCTTATTTTAAAATCTAATATTAAATCTAAGATTTATGATTTTGTACATTTTTCTTTTAATAAATCACAATCTCTAGTTTAAATGAGTTTATTAATTGGGTGTGCGGCAAATGATAATTGTTTGGAAGATCAAAAAAATATATATATATATATATACTCCCTCTATCCCAAAGAGTATTCTATCTAATTTTTTATTCAGTTATTAATTGTAATAGATAAAAGATAAAATGGCTACAGTGTTTATTTTAAAGCAATGTTTTTAAAAAATTTAATTTAAATTTTAAATCTGCTAATTTTGCTCTTCTTAAAATTTTAAATACTTAATTTTTAGTTTTATCAAACATAACTGTTTAATTACAAAATGGTGAAAGAGCTTGAACTTCTGGTGTAATGGGTAGTCTAACATAAATAAGCATATTTATCTTTCAACTGATCAATTAAATTTTAGAAAGTTTTCTTCTTTCCATTGTTCACCTAAGGATCACCATGGCCTGTTGGACTATAGGACCCTTATAAACTTTAGGTTTTCTTAAATTGAGAACCATATAGCATATAACTTACTGTGTCATTAAATTCTACTACATTGAACCATGTAGGGAAAGTTTGAAAATAGGAACTGAAATCTCAATATTTAGAGGTAAGGTTGCGAATATCTCTTGCGATGACGAAAATCTCGTGCATTGAGGTCGCTGATATATACCTGAACCTTTTCATTTAGAAATATTGAAAGATCCCCGCAACCTCCATCTATCCAGAAGAAAAGAGATGGATATGTTTGTGAAAGACTGAGCAGTATGACAGAACCAAAATGGGTTTTGCTTGCACCTAATCAAATTCAAACCAAGCTCAAGAGCCAGAGGAAGCGGGGGTTGACTGAAAGCTTCAAAAGTCTTTGAACATACTTTTGTTTTTCTTTTTTGGAAGTTGCCTTTGGACATACTTTAGCCAAGGGTAGAAAGTAGCCATTGAAATGTACTACTGTCGGCCATAATACCAATAAAGTAGGAGAAAATAATTCATTGCACTTGGAAAAAGTATTTGCTGATTAGGAAAGAATCAATCATTCACCGACAACTAATTTTTTAATTTTTTTTAGGAAGGTGACAACCAATTTGGAATCATTCATTTTCATAAGATACCAAGGTAACTTACTGTATATATGCTATGCTAGGATGATTTTTGTTGTATAATACTGTAGTACATCACGGATCATTTTTTGGAAAAATGCCACCAAGTTTCTTACTTTTTTTATTATTTATTTATTTTATTTTTTTTTAATGTTATTTTCTGGGAAAACGCCACCAAGTTTCTTACTCTTCTTCTTTTCTTTTCTTTTCATTTTTTTTTTTTTTTTTGGTTAGTTTCTGAGAAAATGCCACCAAGTTTCTTACTCTTCTTCTTCTTCTTTGTTTATTTATTTATATTTTTTTTATTTTATGTAATTTTGACCACATATACTTAAAAATAATCTTTAAAAAGTAATCATATATATAATATTTCAACAAACTTCATTATATTGAATTTGCTGGGATTTATATATATATATATTGAATTTGCTGGGATTTTAAAAAAAAAAGACAAAATGTTTAGTATTTCCTGGGTTGAATAATGTGGCCATAATCAAACCAATGTGGCCAAAATTGATTGTGAATCAATATTGAATATTAAAAAAAAAAAAAAAAAAAAAAAAAGACCTAACATAATCACCACACCATCATTTATTAGATAATTCACCGCATCATGTCATTATCATAAATCTATGGATTAAGTGAAGAACACACTCCTAAAATATGCTTTAAGTGCATATCACATTCCTTACGTGCAAAAAATATCCCTAAAGTTTCAATTTGGTGCAAATAAATTCCAATGACAAATTTAAACTCTAAGTTGACTAAATTATTTTTACTCAACCATTTTATAAAATATATAAAAATAAATAATTTTGTAAAATAACCGAAAAGGACATTATTGGAGGATGCCCCTCTCGTGAAAATAACACACCTAAAGTTTCAATCCGGTTCGAATAGGTTCATCTGACAAATTTAAACCCTAAGTTGACTAAATTACCCTTACTGAACCCTAAGTTGACTAAAGTTTTATATATTTTATAAAATGACACTGTTGGAGGACACCGGCAATGGACAAGTAAAGATAAAAATATAAAATAAAAGTATAAAAGAAAAATAAAGATAAAAATAAAAAATAGAAAACAAAAATAAAGTGCAAAATAAAGAAAACAAAATTTTTCCAAACTCCGAAAACTAGTGCACATAGATAATGGGAATTTTTTATTTTTTATTATTATTTTTTTTAACAGTGTTGGTACGGGAAAAAAAAATAAAACAAAGAAAAAAAAAATTAGTAGAAAAGAGTAAACTGGAATTTAAAAAAATTCAAATCCTTATTATACAAATTCTCAAAGTTAAAAATAAAAAATAAAAAATAAAATAAAATATAGATATTTATATATAGAGAGAGAGAGAAAAGAGTTTCAACTATATATATATAAAGGTAATGTGTACAAAACACCTCTACACTATGAGATTAGTAGTATATATACCCCCTTGGGCATTTTTGGAAGAGTAAAAGGACAAAACGAGTATTACAACACTAATTCATGTCAGAGGGTGTATTTTTGCACAATGTAAAAGGATTATGGGTATTTTTTGCACACTTTTTCAAATAGATGGTAAAAGTGTTACGCGAAGTATGCTTTAGCGTGTTTTCTACACTTGTCCCTAAGTCTATTTAATTGATTTTTATTTTATTTTATCAAATACATTTAATGAAATTCTAGCTTCGTGTGCCTGGTTAAATTTGAGACTCCCTCACTAATAAATTAGTGGGACTCAGATGTGACAACTATTAAATCCATTGCAAATTAGTCATTCTTGCCGAACTATTTTATATTTAGAATCTTGTAAAGGACAGATTAATATATTCAATTATTCAACTAAATAGTAGGGACATTTAGGACTAATGTTCATATAAATGTGAAAGAAGTTTTAGAGATGCAACACTCTCAAAATTTCACATTTTTCATTTGCATATGATGTCCTCATGCTCTGCAATGGAGACATTAACTGTGCAAGCATTGGAGATATTAACTTCTTCTAACCCACTTTACGGTCAGTTGTTATTGAGAGTCAAATTCCTCCTTCATCAAAAATAGCGAAGGTTTCATCACATCACATCACATCACATTAATACAAGAATATACAAAGATAATAATTATACACATCCACGCACAAATACAATATTTTACGTAGTTCTCCCAACTTTAGAGTTATGTCCACAAAGAAAGATTTTCACTTTTATGAATAAAGGAAGATAATATATAATCAGATGTCAAAACCCCACTCATTATCATTCATCACATCCTCAAGGCTACATCTTTGCTCTCTGGAATTACACATAATCATTAATCTCCCCCCTCCTCAAAACAGTCACCAACCTCTTTCATGTTTCATCTCTCTACCTTAATCTCTCAAACCTATTTCTATTTATATAGTCTTCGAACTCAATTCCTAGTTGGACAAGAATTTCACAACTTGCCTACAAAGAGTTATTAACTTGAATAGATCCATCTTTTGCGCATGAATTCAAGCCACAAACCCAACAATCTCTACCTTGGCTTGAATTTGGTCTGCACGCGCTACCCCATAACTCCACCTCGACCGAAGATCTCTCTACCTCGAATCAAACGCTATGATGAAATTAAAAACGCTCCAACAATCTCCATCTTTTTTCAAATTCCATCATGCTTGTTCTTCTTCCACCATCCTTGTCAATTGTTAACCCCCTTTGCTGCTTATTTTGGGCAAAAACGACAAACCTCTTATTCCTTTTGCAATGCTTTTTATCGAGCTTAGTAAAAACTCAGTCATTCCTCAAATCATACTAGACCTATCTTGAGAACTAGCACCACTCTTTGGCTTGTCCCCAAAACTTGTTTCTCATGTGCTTGTATCTTCATACTATCCACCTTCTTCGTGTCAGCATCAACTCTAATTGATTTCCTATAGAACCCATGATCAACCTTTACTCTGACAAACTTCACTCCATCCTTCTTCTCTTATCTTCAGAACCAACCTCAAGCTCTGACCCACTATCGGCTTTGATACTAGTTGTTGGGGATATTGACTCTTTTCAACCCACTCCACGGTTAGTTGTTATTGGGAGTCAAATCCTCCTTCATCACACATAATTGAAGCATCATTATATCACATCACATCAACACAAACATATATGAAGTAACAGTCATACACATTCATGCACGACATAATATTTTATATGGTTCATCTAACTTTAGAGTCATATCTATGAAGAGAAAGAAATTTCCATTATTATGAATTAATGAAGAAAATATACAACCAGATGTCAAAAACCCACTCACTCTCACTCATCACACTCTTCTAAATCTTTACACTCAAGAATTACATATGCTCTCCTCTCTCCTCACAACACTCACTAACCCCTTACATTTTTCTCCTCTCCTCACAACACTCACCAACCCCTTGTATATTTCCCCTCTTCCTTTCTACCCTAATCTATTACACTCATCTCTATTTATAGCGTCTTTAAACTTAATTCCTTATTAAACAAAAATT